TCTTTCTTTCTTTCTTTCTTTCTTTCTTTCTTTCTTTCTTTCTTTCTTTCTTTCTTTCTTTCTTTCTCACTGCTTATACTGGAGTGTTCCATGTGTAGAGAGTCTACAGAGCAATTCAGAACTTAGCCTGAAGCCAGACAGTAGCTCAATAGGTGATGTAAAATGTAACTCAGGACCAGTGATGGCATGTGAAAACCTTCCTTTAGGCACTAAGACTGTATCTGTGCTGCAGCAGCAGCAGTGCAAGTACAGCTGGATTCTTGTGGGAGAGAATAGCAAGAGATGGGAGCGTCCCTCTGACACCTCACTGTGCAAACATGTCATTTCATTATACTGCTTTGGGATTCTAATGCGTCAGATTGCAAACAGAGCTGAGCATCAGTAATGAGGTATGTGTGTCAGGTGGGCTGTTGCCTGATGTAAATGCTTCCCATTCATGCTCAGCTTTGTGAATACCTTGGAACACCCTTCACAGTTGGCTGTGCTTGTTAGGTTGTGCCAACGTCAGCCCAAGAACAGTGTGCCCTTTGTTTTCCTTTTTTTTTTTTTTTTTTTTTCTCCTGTCCTGAAGCTGTGGAAGCAGACCTTTGTTGCAGCTCAGCTTTTTTCCATTTATGGCACACTTTTTGTTGTTGTTGAAACATCTGTATAAGTTTTTCTTTAAGTGAGTAGTCCTACTGAAAATATTTGGATCAAGTATGTGAATAATAGTGAATATACTAAAACTGTCAGAAGAGTCTGGGCATGGAAAGGTTTAAAATGGAAGAGTATAACAAAATCATGAAGAGTATTTGCTTATTGTTTTATATAAATTATTTATTTTTAGTTGTTTATCAGTTCAATTTTTTCTTTATCTGTTTTCAAAAAAACCCAGACTTATGTTAGTGCGTAAAGCAGTCAATGTTATTAACTCTTATATTTGCAATCACATCTGTTGGAAAATCATGAGAAAAGTAACTACAAGGAAGATGCACCTCCAGTGGGGATGAGTGAAGTCTATTTTTCTAATCTCAACCATGTAGGAATTGGGGGGTTTGGTCTCTCCAGGTGCTGTGTGTTCTGGCCGCACTCTAGCACAGTACTGGCATATGCTTTCATACTGCTATGGTTTCTATTAAAAAAAAAGCAAGGCATGGGAGATAGAATGGGAGAGATGGAAATCAAAAGGGAATCTGTCTCTAGTACACATAGTTCATCTCATCTTTTAATATATCTCATGACAAGGGACTGGCAAATGCAGTCTTGCTGAAAGTGTGACAGATGCCTTTCTATGAGCTAGATGACTATCCTGAGCCGTAAGGCCATCCTTCGGGATGTTCTCCTTTTCCACAGACTTCATCTTTTCCTTCTGCCCCATGGGCTTTTTCTACTCCAGCTCCACTACCTGCTCCAAGCTACACCTTTGCCTTCAGGCAGAAAACAGTGCTAATTCCATGGAAATATTAAAATTTCCTTCCCTGAGAATCAGCTGAGACTCTCTAGCCTAGACTATCAAATGGAGGTTGTAGATTTGTTCTTTTGATACAATCTAATCTGTGAAAGGACAGGTTAAGTTGATAGTGAAAAACACACTATGTTTCAGATTGAGAAACACCTGGAAGTTTGCTCTGTATGAAAATTTCATGGAATCATGTGTTTCCTCAAGGCACTTAATCAAGAAGAAAATATTAGGTCAGACTTGTTCAACCCACACCCTTGGGGTTGCATGCAGCCTGGCCCAGCTCACCTTGCATCTGTCTCCCACCCCATGCAATCATGGCGGCGATTCTGAATGGCTTGGCCCAGCCTTGGGTGGACTCCCATCTCTCAGAATAACCAAACATTGATGTGTAATCTGCTCCATCTGGGCTGAAACCAGGGCATGGGGAGGGTGCAGTGCAGTGCCGGCTTAAGTGATGGCAAAGAACTATATGCATTTTGATATGCTGGCTAAAAATCCTGTGAATAGCAAAAAATATGCAGCTGTGCTTTCCATTGCTGTAAGGGAATTTGAGAATAGGTTTCAAGAGCTCCAAAAAGGCAGTCAATTTTTTAATATATTTGTGACTTCTTTTTAATTCAACATAAATACATTTTTAAAATTGAATCAGATATTCAACTGAAAAATCTGATCTTGTCTCTCCACTAGACTCCTATGAGAGAGAAAGATATCCCTCACTTCACAATCACACCATACTCATCTCATAACTTTTGGCACCATGCACCTTTTTTGAAAAATTGTTTTCAGGGATGAAACACTGAGACACAAGAGGAACAATATTAAAAACATCTGAGAAATACCTTGAGAGGTCACTAAGCACTGCAAACACTGCCACTGAACCAGACTGATGCAGTAGTTTCACAAAAACAAGGTCAAATATCCCACTTCTTTTATGTTTTCCTTTCTTTTTTTTTTTTCCTTTCCGTTTTTAAATAAAATTATTAAAAATTAAAATAGGTTTTGTTACTTGTATGCATCAACTATATTATATAATTTACAAAAGCTGCTCTGAAAAGAATGCTATTTATCTGTTATTCTTTTGACCCATGACAAAAGAGGTGTGTGGTGGTGGTACGGCAGTAGAGGTTAAATTTTCCCATCAATATTCCATTATATTTTGTTGCTATGTGACAGATGGCAGCAGAGGGGCAGTCTGACAGAATGGCATCTGACATGGAAGTGCATATGAAGCAAAGGGGTGTCGGTGAATTCCTCCATGTGGAAAAAAAGACACCCACTAAAATTCATCTATTCTTGACAAGCATCTCTGACAACAAAACAGTGAATGTGAACATAGTGAGGTGGTGGGTAGTGCATTTCAGCAGTGACAGAGGGTCACCTCTGCTGTATAGGTTTTTATGAATACAGCATTTAGGCTCTTGTTCATTGCTGATGAAAATGCATTGCTAATAGTGCTGGCTATATTGAAAAATATTGTTCTATATTCTATCAAATAGTGTCATTGTGCTCACTGTAT